CACCCAAAAGCAGGAAGCCGCGTGTCAACGCATATCCCCTCGGCCCGGAACTCCAGGCCGTGAGATTTGCGCGGCAGACAATAATCACTGTTTGTGTAACCAATAAAACCAACACCATTTGGCCTTTTATAAAACACACCATAATCAACTGTACCCTTCACATATATGAGAATTCTTCTTTCTGCATTTAGATGCATTTCAGTTGGTTTTTCCATATATCTGCTTACCAAACTTACTGCATACATGATGTCAGGTCTTGTGGAGGTTAAGTACATGAAACTACCAATAATTTGCTTGTAGAAAGTACTGTCAACCTCCTTCCCACCTTTGTCTTTGCACCAAAGTACTGTCAACCTCCTTCCCACCTTTGTCTTTGCACAACTTTAAGCCAAATTCAGTTGGTGTTGCAAATGACTTGCAATCTTCCATTTGAAACCTCTAAAGAATTTCATGTGCATATTTCCTCCGATAGATAAAATTTCCAACAGTAGTTTGAATGATTTCTAATTCAAGAAAATAATGCATTAATCCTAGATGAGTCATTTCAAACTCCTTCATCATAGGCTTCTTAAATTTATCAATCATCTTGACATCATTACCAGTGAATAACAGATCATCAACGTACAAACACACAGTGAGTAATTTACCTCCTTCAGTCTTGACATACAGAGTGTGCTCAAAGGGGCATTTGTAAAACCCAAGTTTGGTAAACTGAGCATCTATGCAACTGTACCAAGCTCGAGGTGCTTGTTTCAGTCCATAGAGTGCTTTCTTCAGCCGGTACACCTTCTCTTTCTCTCCTTTCTTCTCATAAGCAGGTGGCTGGTCAATGTACACCTCCTCTTGCAAGTTGCCATGCAAGAAAGCTGATTTCACATCTAACTGAAAGATTTACCATGAGTTTTTAGCTGCAAGTGAAACCACCAACCTGATTATGTCTTGTCTTGCAACTGGGGCAAACACTTCATTGTAATCGATGCCATGCTTTTGCTTGTAACCCTTTGCTACTAGACGAGCTTAATGCTTGTCAATTTCACCCTCTTCATTCAGCTTTGTCTTGAAAACCCATTTAACACCATTTGTTTTCTTTCCCTTAGGTAAGTTTGTTAACTCCCAAGTGTGATTCTTCTCAATGGACTTGATTTCATTGTCCATTGCTTCCCTCCATTTCTTTACTTTAACAGCCTCATCATATGTGATTGGATCACTGTCTACAAATAAAGCAAAATGAGCATTATCATCATCAGAACTTGTAAAATTTACATCATAATCCATCATCCATGTTGGCTTCTTCCTTGTGTTTTCATCCCTCAAATTGTAACCTCTTTCTTCTTCTGATTGTTGATGAGGTTGTTGAGCCACAGGTTAAGGTGATTCCTGGATTTGAGTTGTAGATACTTCTTCTTCCTCACCATCCGAGACATCATCATATACCAGTGGCTTCTGGATTGAGCTTTCAACATTCCAATTCCACATAATTTCTTCATCAAATTTTACGTCCCTGCTTATCAAGAATGTGTGCATATGCAATGCACCCAAACACTTTAAAATTATCAACCGAGGGCTTCCTTCCACTCCAAGCTTCTTGAGGAGTCATATTCTTAATAGAAAATGTGGGACTTCTGTTAAGAATATGAACTGACTATAGTACAGCTTCAGGCCAAAACTTCTTTGGAACCTTCCCTTTAACTAGCAAACTTCGAACCATATTAGGAATGGTTCGATTCTTCCTCTCACTTACACCATTCTGCTGTGGTGTGTAAGCAGTGGTGAGATGTCTCTTGATGCCTTTTTCTCTGCAAAACAAATCAAACTCCTTGGAGCAAAACTCCCCTCCTCTATCTGTTCTGAGTGTTTTAATCTTCTTGTCAGTTTCATTCTCAGCTAGGGCTTTGAAGCTTTTGAATGCATCAAATGCTTCTGACTTTTCCTGCAAAACATATACCCATGTCTTTCTACTAAAATCATCAATGAAAGAGATGAAATACTTCTTATTACCATTCGAGATTGGATTAATTGGTCCACATAGATCTGAGTGAACTAACTCCAAAACTGATTGAGCCCTTACTGCCTTGCCACTTGGAAATGAATCTCTTTGATGTTTCCTAAGTGATACATTCTTCACAAACCTTTGATGGATGATTATTTCAAGTAAGCCCATGACCATCTCCTTTTGGTGAAGTGTTCTCAAACCATTAAAGTTCAAATGACCATATCTGTAATGCGATCTCCATGAATCATCTTCTATTATAAGAAAGGAAGCCTGAATTGTCTTGATCTTCAAAGGGAACAACCTGTTTGAGGACATTTTTACCACAGCAATAGAGCCTCTTTTTGGATCATACACTTCACATTCTCCTTTAAAAATTGTAATCCTGTACCCTTTGTCTTGTAACTGACCAACACTTAATAAACTTGTTTTCAAGTCAGGAATAAAAAAAATATTTGCAATGGTTTCAACAAAGTCATTTTTAGTCCTGATTTGAATATCTCCATTTCCCATCACATTCATAGTTGATTTGTCCCCAAAGCTCATAACTGAACGAAAGCTTTCATCTAAATTAACAAAGGAAGACTTACATCCACTCATGTGATTGCTACAACCAGTATCCACGTACCATGTTTCTTGGTCATACTCATCCAGTGCATGAAAGGCCATCATCAAAAGTATCTCTTCCTCCTTTTTCTCAGCAAAGTTGGATTTTTCTCCTTTCTCTTTTGGCAACTTCGTGTAACACTCACTCTTGTAGTGACCAAAGTTTCCACATCTGTAACACTCAATCTTGGACTTATCATAGTGGCCTCCTCCCTTTCCTTGAGAGTCATTATCTTTCTTGGACACATGAGATGATTTGCTATCATCTCTATTCCCAAACCTTCCACCGTCTCGATTGCCTCAACCACCTCTTCCACGACCTCTTCCTCCTCTGAGCTTGAGGACTTAGAGAAAGTAGAAGCCTTTAGTGTTGTTTGCTCCTCACTGGCAGTGGTATGGTTAAGCATTTGCTCATGCACTAGCAAAGAGCTTTGCAGTTCATCAATTCGCGTCTCAGCAACATTCTTTGACTCCTCAATTGAGCAGACAACATAGTCAAATTTAGGAGTCAATGATCTTAATATCTTCTCCACAACTTTTACTTCTTCCATGGTGCCACCATTTGATCTCATCTTATTTACTATCCCCAATGTTCTAGCAAAGAAATCAGTTATTGACTCTTCTGATTTCATTTGGAGGGTTTCAAAGCCCCTCGTTAGAGTTTAAATCAATGCATGCTTCAGTCTCTTTGAGCCTTCATATTAGGAGTCCCATATTTGTTTGGAGGTCTCCTTCTCAAGTATGGTCTCCAAAATACATCGATCAATTGCCTGAAATAGATAATGTTTTTACCTTTAAGTCATTCAGATTCTGTTCATCAAATCTCTTTTATTATTGTTCAGTCGACGGGACTCCTACTAGTGAGTCAATCCTTGATTCCATGAGGTGCCAATACTCCTTTGATCTTAGGAATGTTTGTGCCTGATAAATCACGGCCATAAGCTGGCCGAAGGAGCCCCTTCTCTCGGCCTTGGCACTTGTTCGTAAAAACTGAAACGCAGCGTTTCGCCAGGGTACTTCGCCTTCCTAAAGACAAAAGAAGAAATGCTAAGGCATGATCATCTCGGCCTCAAGCGCAGGCCGAGGCCGAGGCCAAGCAAAATCGCGGCCAGAAATATTAAAGTCAGATCATCACGTGATAGCAGGGACCCAGGCTTCATTTAATGAAGTAGTGTCTGTTTAATGCAGCAAACCCACTGGCCACAAAGAAGCATTTAATGCATGAGGGAAGGTGGGAAGTGACTGAAGTCAGGATTTGGTGATGAGGATCAGAGTGATTAGACGTGGACATTCTCACAAGAATTCTGACAGCCTGAGATATTGGTTCACCAGCTATCCAGGCCATAAAT